CTCAATCATCTGCCCCTCTGTTCGTTTCTCTTCTCTCTATAATGTCTGTTACTTAGTCATCTTGGCTTCTGTCTAATTTACTATATTCGTATCTATATAACTGAGACTACTAATAGTGAGTGTAGTGTGTGGTATTAAATGTGTGTGTATATTCCATCTCTCTGCTCTGCTCATTCCTTACTACATATTTGTTTGTCCTATATTTATACCTCATGATTATATATGCTACTCATCATTCGTGTTATTTATCTATGTATGTATGTATATGATGTATCTTATATCATCCCATTTACTGGTGTGCTGTGATATACTGATACATAGCCCTACTCTATATGTATATCTACTAATGTATTACATTTGTATATCTATATTCTGTTTATATTTTCTCGTATCCTTCTTTCAGTGTCTATATATGTATCATGCTATAATCTCAATTATATATGTTGTTACAGTCCTTCCCCCTTCCCTTCCCTCCTTTTACTCTTCTCTCTCCTATTTATTCACCTCATGCCATCCCTTCTCTCTTATCATTCTATGTACACCTCCTCAATATTGTTACCCATATTATGTTATATGTGTATATGTGTATATATTCCTATATGTATATATTTGCTTGATTTCTATAAACTCTAAATATTAATTTTCCACATGATCAGATTTGATATGCTAAATGATGCTTGATGTGTGCTATTTAATTATGGTATGGAGGAAATGACATTAGGAACTATGTAATACATGGTTAGGAGTCCAAACAAAATAAGTTATACTGTGGGCCGTGAGCGCTAGATCTATCTACTTATACTAATTTGTCCCTCAGATAGGTCCGGATGCGGTATACATACGAGCAGAGAGCTTGAATCAAATAACTTTCCGAAGAATTTATATATGTATTTTTAATCATTTTTTATTAATAAGCTAGGTATATTTTTTTTTACTTTATCTTATATAAATATATATTATATATTCGTGATACCCGTATATTGTTATGTTTAATGCTACGCTATCATCTTTATACCTTCTGAACTATTATATACTGTTATTATTCATATTCTACGTAACATTCAGTTGCATTACCACACACGACACTGAACGCCACGTGAGTGGACTAAATGCTCGCACGCTCACGGCCACTAATACTCCTAACTCAAATACCTTGTCACTCAACATCACATATACACTGCACAACTCACACATATCCTAATCAACACTGCACATCACCACACACTACATATATATTCACACACACACACTAACACACTCAACACACTAAATATATGCTGAGACACACACACCACACCACACTATCACTATAGCAAATTTATCATAATTATGTGTATTTATAATATATGGTTTATATTATGTATAGTTATAATTGTATATATATATTGTATGTATATATATATGTAATTATTATTATTATTACTGATATATGTGGTTAATATATATTATATGTTTATATATACTATGGGTGTGAATTTACTCTGCTTTATTTATGTATATATATTTGAATAGTCCAATTAATAACACCACACCCACACTCTACCACACACCATATATATTTAATACTAATATGATTATATATATATTAACATATATATATATATATATATGTTATATATACTTATATATATTAAATCATTACAATATATTACATATACATACAAACATATATATACCTTATGATATCATATATACATACATATATATATATTATTTACATATATATATATATATGTATTGGTATATATAATATATAAACATATATTAATATATTATATATATTAATATACATGAGTATATATATATATATTAATATATATTACATTATATCATTAATATTAATATTATAATTATACATATATATATATTACCTTATATATATAATATTATATTGTTAATAGCTAATATTATTCTACACATATACAATATTACATATATATTTAATATATAATATATTAATATAATATATTTTTATATATATATATATATTATTAATAATGAATTTATGCACTTCTTAGCAAATATAATGGGTGCAAATGACGAAACACCTCAACTCCACACTCGTTTTCTCATTAAGAACTATTACTTAAGAAAAATAGTCAAAGAAAAATGATTTGATAGGATATAACAAATTATATTTATTCTCTACATATTACCAATATCAATAGTTCATGTACGCCCACAACGAACATGCGAGCAAATTAATTTTTTAACCTTCATTGGCATGTGAAGACATCGAAAAAAATTAAACTACTATGTTAGTTTCAGTTTCGAATGTCACTTGATACACTATCACTTACATATGCTGAAAGTGCCATAACTTGTATTCAATCACAATCAACAGAGTAACAGTTAATTATATTAATATATATTTTATATATATATATATATATATATATATATATATATATATATATATATATATATATATATATATATATATATATATATATAACATCATTAGATTTAGCAAAAAATAACAGAGGTAAGGAACTTTGACAAGTGTCCAAAACTTAGAACGCCATATCTCCGTTCTTTATTTATACAGCTTCGGTAAGTTATAACTCTCATAACTTTTGTGCGATTCAAACACAGTTACTTGCTTTTGCCAGAGCATCAGAATCCTGAGGCCGTGTAAATAGCTGATTTTTAAATTTTGGAATAAATAAAAAAATATGACTACATAAAACTGAAAAAAAAAATAACCAGAAAGAGTACTGTATGTCCACCAGTGCTCTGCTCCCCAAAAAAGGAAATTAAAAAATTGGCTATCTCTACAGCCTTAGTATAGGTTAGATTTAACATAAGTACTTTTTGGGGATTATTCAGGAAAAAACACTGGCAGTTATGAGGTATCGAAGACAGTAAACATTTTTCTTCATCTTTTTGGAGGTCGTCTTCCCTCCAATGGGGGGGGGCCAGTTTAAAGTTATATATGAAACGAAGCGCAATTTTATACTCTACATTATGCAAAAACAATAAGTTATCTCTTACCAACATCTTTTTTAATGATGAAATGAGTAGAGAAAGGTAGGCATTTTCTGGAATGGTACCCTTAATTCCATTTCTTAAACTTCGCATCTATGAAGGTGTACTGGTATATATATTAAGATTAACAAGTTTGTTTATATATTCTTACCAGTATGCCTTTTCTTAAAGAGTATTTCTAGTTTTTATATCTGGCATTAATAAGTCCTTATGAGGGGGAACAGAATCTCTAAAATATGCTCTTGTCCAAGACCTGGATAACATATTATATATGTAGACACTCCCAGTACAATTTAATTTCCAGCCCTTTGAAATTGGTTCAAGCTTGGTATTATCCTGTTGGAGATGGGAATAGAAATGGTAGCTTGGTTCTTTGGCATTAGTGCCAGCTGCATGGCAGATCTAACGAGTTCTATTTCACATTACGCAAGTGGTGCATGACATGGCCTTTCTTATCATCTTTTTTCATGTGTTAATGTGAGGTTATAGTAGTTTTTATTAGTATTTTGAAATTTATTATGAGTGTAAGACAGACTATACTAAAAAGGAAAAAGAGTGGTGAGAAAGAGGAAGGCTTTTAGCTACAGGTGTCACAGCTCAACGCAGCCATATTGGCACAGGGGCACATTGCAGCAACTGCCCATGGTTGTCTGAGTTCATGGATGACTGCTCTGACAGAAATCATTCATCTTCAGAGTTGGAACCACTGTTGCTCAGAAGACAATCTCACCCCTTTGACAGGTACTTTTTGGTGTCTGTTTGATTGATTGTAAAGCCATAAAGTAATGGTCACACTAGTTTGGACAGCAACACTGTCTCTCTCAACTACAAGGCAAGATAAGTCACACACTGCATAGTATCCCCTATAGAGAAATTGCTCCACAAAAGACCAAAGTTAACAATAACCTCCTGGATGAACTACACATTGAAGATTGATGTGGATTCTATGAATATTGTTGCATATCGATTGAAAATTTACAAGAAAGATGTTAAAATTAGAAAAGCCAACCCACCCATTTTCTGGATTATCATTCACCATACAACGGTGGCAGGTACCATATTTCATCAGAAATAGAAAATCCAACAATATTCTTTGCAATAGCATTTTCCGCTATTAGTGTAATCAATAATGTACGAAATATAATTATGGACTAATAAAAACTAAAGTTAGGAGGGAGCAAATACTGTGCAAAGCAAAGTTTCTTGTTGATTTCATCCATTATTGCTATTTTTGACAAACTTTATTTGTAAAGTGGGTATCGCTCAGTGCTGCTTTAGGCAGGGATTTTTATCACAGTTCCCTTCACAGCTGGGAAGTATCTCACTCTGTAAAAGGATCCCTGGACAGAAAAGATTAGTAGAAAGGAAGGACTTTATTTTCAGCATTTGCAGGAGCAGAGGCAAGGAGCAAGAATTGTATTGCTTGGGAGCTGTTTTTCTGATCAAATTGCAGCCATCTATACAAATGCATTCATGCCAGTTGAGGTTTGTTTTTCCCTCTGCAGAAATGTAATTAGAGGTGTAATTGATGGCAGTGCTCTGTATAAGCAATATAAATGAGGAGCCTTTCTATTTTGAATATATTTATTGTGCCTTCTCTGCCATTTTAAACTAATCATGTTTAGTTTGCAAGGGGTAATTATAGTAATTATTGTAATTACAATGAGAAAACAGTAAATATTACCATTAAAATAATAAAGAAATAGCACACCACTCCCTTGAACCATCCAGGCCACAACAAAATTGTCAGTCATGCCTTGACAACCTCTGCTAGTATCATTCTTAAATCACGAAAGTTTTAGCAGCTATCACAAAGAATTAAAATGTTTTGTCACATAGTTATAGGTTTTGCTTTGTGTACTACAATTTTTAACAAGGATTTTAAGTGATCATGAAGCTTGTATATCAAGAAACCAGTACTGATAGGGACTTAATTATTGGAGGCACTTATTGGCTTATTATGTATATACAGCATTGCCTCCTCTTTTATTTGTGATTTTTTTATTGTACAGATGAGTTGTGGTGCGTGAACATGACAGCCTTGTATGCATGGGGAGCCAATAGCCACGGGCAGTTAGGCCTGGGCTATGTCAGTGAGCAGGTATGTAAAGAAACTATAGGATTTTATTATATCATCAGTAATGAAACAGAATTTTAAAGATTTTTTTATACTAAATTTTATTTATTACTTATCACTCCTTTTGATTTGCTGTTTCTTTTTCTTATTGAATAATGATCACAGAAGAAAATCATATTTCATTGAGCCATAATCACATTTATGCATTTTCCATAGGTGACTCAGCCTACACGAGTAGATGACCTACCAGACAACATAAGTGAACCTTCAATATGTACAGCAGTTGGTGGGGGAGGTCACACCTTTCTGTTGACAGCTCAGGGACGACTCTTTGGCGCTGGATGGAATACCAGTGGGCAGGTAAATGTATTTTTTGGGTGTGTTTGCCTAACTAGCATAAAGTTGAGCTTACATATATTTTCTGCTGTACTACAGGTTTGAAATTTTCTTATTTTCTTTATCAAAGTCAGCTATGCTACCCCCTTGTCTTTTACTGTGATGGCTATATCTGTCATATAATGATTTGGCTTTGTGCCATGTATGACCATAACTGTCATGACTTGCTCTTGCATTTGCATGCTGGAGCTCCTGAAGATGAGTTTGCTCACAACAAACATTTGGTGGGCTGCTTATATGGTTCCCTAATAGAAGTGCTGTACAATAAAATCTTGACTTGCATCATGAGGCTAAGATTCAAACCTGCTGCTGTACCCATTTAAATGAAGTTACTGTGTAATGTATAATTTTGATTTTTTTGTTTAAATCCCTACCCCACCATTTTCTTTTTCTTTACTTGAAGGTTGGAGATGGGACACAAGTACGCGCAGTAGCAGGATTTCAGCTCATACGAGGCCTGGAGGGTCATCACATGGTAGCTGTGGCTTGTGGCTGGGCCCACTCCATTGCCCTTAGTAGATCTGGCCAAGTGTGGGTGTGGGGCTCAAATAGTCATGGCCAACTTGGGCTGCCAAAGGATGAGGTAACACATTGATTGACAGTGTATCATAATATAATTGATGAAAGTGATGTGGGAGAATATATAGTATTTGTTTTTGAAAAACTATCTTGTGCTTAACTAAAAGAGGATTCTGATGATTTTTACTGACAGTTTATTCTGTGAACATATTATGTAAAAAATTGTTTCTGTTCATCAGTTAACTCTAGTTCTCTGTTGTAGTATTCTTAATAAGCATAGAGGCAGTTCTGTAAATAGGATTTGTAAGAGCACATATCATTATATGTTATAATGGTACTATGAATCTGGAAAATACATGTTTTAGTTGTTTTTGTAGCAGTGAAAGTTGTTAACAGAGTAATTGTATATGGATTGATTTAGCAGTAACATAAAAAGCAGTGCTCTGATCCCGTGAAAAAGAGAGGATTGTAAACATCATTCTTGCTAAGTAATTCTGTTTAAAAATATGTTACAACTATAGATATAATTCTGGCTCCATGTTCCAGATGAACTGTCAAACCCCAAAAAGTTATATTTAACTAATTCTTTTGTTTGGAAACATATCCTCTACATCTTATTGAATATTATATATGTTTTTTTTATAATTAAAACTACATCTCTTATTTCATTAGTAATATTAGATTTTAATCTAGATTTGAATTTAGATGGAATATTAAATCCAAAAAGCCACACATTCAAAATATTGGTTGTTACTCCAATTATGTATGTTTATTAAAAGCCAGCAGTGGATTGTATGGAGCAATGCAATACTCACAGATAGGTATAGATTTGAAGAAAAAATATTTTCCTCTTTGAAAAAAGTTGGTTATGGTAAAGAGAGAACAAAAAAGTTGATTAGAAGGTTACAGGAAAGAATGAATGACAATAAGAAGTCAAAGGTTGGGAATTGGTATTTTATTTTCTCTCACTGAGTCATCAAATACACAAGAACATGTATAGCCTGCAAGAGGTAAGGGATGCCAATTAGTGATGGAGTATCCATATATGCCTATTAATGCCTTTGGTTAGTTCATTTTTCACAATAGTCTTGTTAGAAGTTCTTTTTATTCATTTTTCCTTAATTCCAATTTTTTATTCAAATTTATTAACTCAGTGTCTCACCGCAAATTTGTATGCATAAAAGAAGAAACATTAAACGAATACTGGGTAAAGAAAATACTTGATATTTGTTTTACAAAGAGTAGGGGGCAGAAATAACATGCTTATTGTTTAGCTTTATAGACCAAGACTGTTCTTTTGGCCAGAGCTCTATGATGATTTGGAGGCAGTGAGAATATAGGGTTAGAATTTTTTTTTTTTTTTTTATACTGAATGTCTGCATTGATATTTCATAACCATTATTATACAATTAAATCATTAGCAAACTGGGAATAACCACTATGCATAGGAAGATGGATGTCATTTTTAGAACAGGAATGTAATTATGAACACTGATATCTTCTAGTTTTTTCATATTAAGGATAGTTTTTTCTCCCGTTGAGCTCAGAAGCCCAAGGAAATTGAATATGAAATACATTGCAGTTCTTTTTGGAATGTTAGCACAATGGGATGCTAAGTACCAAGACATGTCCCAGTGATGACCAGAACACGATCTGAGTATTGAGACTGATTCACTTGAGATGGGTTATATATGGTTATGTAAGCCATAAGTAGTTTGATTTTATATAGTTATGGATGAATGCAATGCTACTGGTAGCTACAGCCAGTTGTAAGTTGTACTAGCACAGCTAATACATTGTTTCTTTCACTAGGTGCCTTTTACAAGCCTTCCAATTTGCTTGGACCTAATGAATGTGGTGAGTGTGTCAGCCGGCCTGCGCCACACAGCAGTTGCTACGAGGGATGGGAGAGTGTACACTTGGGGCCAAGGTCACCGGGGCCAGCT